ATCGGATTAAGGGTGTTCCCTCTCTCACTGACGGGAGAGAACGCAATTTGGTTTACTGAGTTGCCCTATAACTAAATCCATACTTGGGAGCAGTTGAGGGATGTGTTCCTAGCACGGTATTACCCGGTGTCTAAAAATCTCAACCACAAAGATAGGGTGAACAACTTTGTGGCATTGCCTGGGGAGTCGGTAAGTAGCTCTTGGGATAGGTTCACCTCATTTGTGAAAAGTGTCCCAAACCACCGCATTGATGATGAGTCTATGAAAGAGTACTTCTATAGGGAGCAAGATGATAATAATAAGGCAGTACTTGATACTATTGTGGGTGGTTTTTATGGTGAGTGCAGAGATTATGGAGATGTTGGAGAAAATCTCTCGCAACAATAAGACTTGGAGCACTAGAAAGTCGGACAATCGTAGAAACACCTTTGCAGTGCAAGCTACACACAACCCGGCCTCAGATGAGATTCGTGAAGAGATGGCTCAAAAGAGAATTGAACTCATGTTGGTATTAAAACATATCACTAGAGATGCAGAGAAAGTAAATACGGTGAGTTATTTGACCAAACCACCACCGCCAGCAGATGAATTCTACTGTGAAGAGGATTCTTATACATTGAATGATTAGACGGGGCACACCTAGGGCTATTATCAGTGATGGGGGTCCCACTTTTGCAACAAGTTGTTCAAAGGAATATTGGAGAAATATGGGGTTCACCACAATGTAGCCACTCCATACCATCCGCAAACTAGTAGGCAAGTTGAGGTGTCCGACAGAGAAATCAAGCAGACCATGTCAAAAACGGTGAATGCTAATAGGATGGATTGGTCAATGAGTCTTTATGATTCCCTATGGGCCTAACAGACAACATAAAAGATTCCCAAAGGTATGTCTGCATACCAACTTGTCTATGGGAAGGCTTGTCACTTTTCGGTTAAGTTAGAGCACAAGGCCATGTGGGCGATGAAGAAATTGAAGATGGATTGGAATGAATCAGTAGAACAGAGACTTAATGGATTGAATGAGTTTGATGAGTTTCGTATAAAATCATATGAAAGTTCAGCCCTCTACAAAGAAAAGATGAAAAAGTACCATGACCAAAAGATTGAGAAGCGCAAATTTGTAGTTGGGGATCTGGTACTTCTATTTAACTCTAGTTTGCACTTGTTTTCGGGCAAACTCAAGTCCAAATGTACTGGTCCATTATTCATCACCAAAGTGTTCCCACATGGAGCAGTTGAGTTGGAAAACAAGGAGCACGCAAGGTTCACGGTAAACGGGAAAAGAATCAAAATCTACTTCGTGTATAAAGAGAGTGCCAATGAAGTGGTTGAGGCATATTACCTTAATGAAGTCTGAGTAATCAAGGGTCTTGCATCGTGCCGCGACGTTAATCAAGCGCTTATTAGGAGGCAACCCAATGTGCATCCTCTATCCAACAATAGGTTTTTTGCATTTCTTTATCGAAATATTTTGCATTCTTTTGTTTCATTTTGTTTTACTCAAATATCATGTGTAATTGTCCCTTTTAGCTTTTATCTATTGGATAGAGAGTAGTTTAGGGTCCGTGTCCAAAAAGTATCAAAAAAACACAAAAGGAATGGCTTAATTGGTGCTCAACGTGCAAGGACCAAACCACAAGAATTCTGCAGAAATTGGTCTGGTGCACAATCTATGGACCAACGGACGAGCCGTCGTCCCATCAACGGACCATCAATGGTTCCCATAGATCCCAAATATGTTTTCAAGCTTCTCCTAACCTAGGGCACAACCGATGGACCAATCGACGGACCGTCAACGGGGTCTCTTCAGTTCACAAAAACTAGTGACCCGACCCAACCTGACCGACTTTATAATGTTATAACTGTTAATTTACCCCTCCACACCTTTTCAAATTCCCCCAACCATTTCCATCCCTTATTCCCTTAACTCCCCATTAACTCCCAAAATCATTCACTCCACATTTTCTTTCGATTTTCTAAATTCCCAAACTCCCATAATCTCCCAAACCCTTCCCTCTACAGTTCCTTCCCTATTTCCCTTGTTTCTCCGGTCGGTGTTTGAAGGCAGGTAAGTAGGTTGGTGTTGCACGATCACACACTCACTTTACTCCACTACAACTCTCATGTAGTTCATGTTCCTTTGCTTAATGAATTCTCATTTATTTTCCTGTGGAATCAAATGTGTTATGTGTGGGTTTTGACTTCGGGACATAATTGAATGTTTCACTTGTTAAAAATTGGGTTCCATGTCCGTTATAATGATAGAAAGTGAATGGGTTGGGGGTTAAATATGTGTATAGTCTATTTTTTGATGTTTTCTCAACATAGGGCTTGTTAGTCACTTAGAATCCATGGTTGAAATTGGCAAAATTGAAGCCGTAGGGATGCTGAATTAGTCTTTTGCTTGATATTGCAAGTTAGGTGTACTAGTTTGTGCTTCAAAGTTTCCATTTGTGGTGTAATATATCGTCCCAAATTTTATCTTTGACCAACAGAATGAGACCCAGTCTACGGACCGTCGGTTGATCGACGAACCGTCAATGGGGTCCGTCGATGGTTCACTCTTGAAAACTGTTAACTTTGGAACGCCGGAAGTGGAATACGGTCCGTTGATTTTGCACGTCCGTCGCTCCTAGCTAAAACCCTGGTCTCTAAAGCATTTTGAAAATTTTCTAAGTATCCGACGACAGAAGTGGACTAAGGTCCTTCGATTAATAGACTGACCGTTCTACACGTCTGTCGTTTCTAACTGCAAGTTCTGAGGAAAGATGACTTTTGAGATTTTCTAAGTATCCATCGATGGCCACCATTGATAGACCGTAGTTTCATCGATAGTGCCCGTCTTCTGAGTATAGTGCCCGTCTTCTGAGTCTACGTATTTGCACTCACATTTGTCCTCTCTTTCCAGATTTTGTTTTGTTTCTTTTGTGTGTGTAGTCTTATAACTATGAAACTAACAACTCTCTTTTCAGGTATTAATGGCCCCCAAACCGGATATTGTCTATTCTAAGGTACGGTCCAAGACTGTGGCACCATCTCGATGCCTGATTGGCTCATCCAATGATGAGAATGATCTTAAGTGTTTTTCTACTTACACCCCGACATCAGCTGCTAGAGTCACTTGGGGATACCCCAAGAAGGTGGCGCCCGACGTACTCACTGCCTCATAGTCTGATGAGGAGCGCATACTAACCGGCACACCATATGGTTATGCCTCACATTCAGAGGGAGCATTTGGCTCTGAGGAGGCCTCTGGTTATGAGTCAACCCATTCTACAAGGTCGAATGAGGTCGCTGCCTCCGATTCCAGTGCATAGGGTGCTACTCCACCTGCCATGTCTGCCCACAATGCCTCGTTTGATGAGGCCCAAAGTTCGGAGTCTACTCTTGCACCAAGTTTGAGGTCCTTGTACCGGTCACTAATGAAACCAATCGGTGGTGTGTCGAGGTCCAGTACCAAGTTTACATAGATGCCAAAGTGTTGAACGACAAAGGGGTGATAACTCAGACGTTGACAATCGAGCAGCGGGTTCTTATAGAGAGCCTACACACATTCCATGCAGTACATGATTTGTTTAACCGTAACCTACTTGAGTGGAAGGCTAGGAGTGTGGGGCCTTACAGTGAGGAGATGGTGTGAGATTTCTACGCCTCTTATGTTGAGACTCTCTGAGGTCCTTTAGATAGGCGGGCTAACCCTGCCAAGTAGGCACCGGTCACTGTTGTCCGTGTTCGAGGCTGCCGGGTGGATATTTCTTCTTCTGCCATCCGCCGATTCCTATATGATAGGGACACTAATTCCATGAAGGTACCCACACCCCATAGTTCGACTACAGGTGGGACATCGTGAAGAGTGGTCATTTTCAGCGAAGTAGAGAATTGCGAGAGTCCACCAAGAGGTGGATCGCACGACGGATCTCCATTGATGGTGAGGGCGCATATTGGGTGTTGGACACCAGAGGCCTTATCAAGAAGGACAACCTCACGTTCGCGGACAAGTTTTTCTGGCTATTAGTCTATCACCGCCTATCCCCCGCGGCTGCAGATAATATACTCACTTGGGATAGGGCGATCTTTGTAGCAACTTTGGTAGCCGGGTTGGAGGTTGATTTTGCCAAGTTGCTGATATTCGTCATCCATGATAGGGATTTTAAGGCCTTTACCACTTACCCATTTGCTTGTATGATTTTCCAGCTGTGCAGGGATGCTGGACTGCCCATTTGGCACAGAGATGTTCTCCGCACTCCTATCGGAATGGTTGATATCGGTCTCATCCGAGATAAGGCCAATGAGGCGGCACCACGGCGTGGGCCCATAAGTGATGTGCAAATGCTAGGTGAGAACTTGCGGCTACGGTTGAGCAAGCCCAAGGGGATCATCATGCTACTTCAGAGCCTACTGACGCCATCCCGACATAGTCTGGCCCTGGCACGAGTAGGACTCCTAGTTCCTCCCAGTCTACCCCACCATCAGCACCACTGGTCCTGATTGCTCAGGTCCAGAATTTAGAGGTCCAGATGGCCACCTTGCTGCACCATATCCAGCCTTGGATGCAAAAATCTATTGTCGAGCTGACACCGGATTGAGAATAAGGTGGCACAGAAGACAAAGTTCAAGATTCAGGCAGTCCATCATTGCCTAGATGCTTTTGAGATCCGAGTCCTAGCTCGTCCAGCCCCCACCATTAATATGAATACTTTACAGGAGGTTGTGGCGAGTCTGTGTGTTGATGTTGATGCTATACTAGATGTGAGTACGCCTGAGACTGAGGCCGCACCTACGGAGCTTGCGGAGGATACAATATTGGTTGCACTATTTACTACCACTACTGCACTGCTGCCACCACCACTTGAGGGCACCAATCCTGCCACACCAGTGAGAGTGAGATGGCTCGGGCTCAGATTTGGAGGCTGTGAGGAGTGCATCGTTGCTAGATGAGGAGGCCCATCAGTTGAGGGCTAGAGAGTTAGTTGTTGGGGCGTATAGCTCCAGATTGGATGTTGCTGAAAGAAGCACCACTGAAGGTTAAGATATTGTTGTGGGCACCACTAATGGTGGACTTACTACAGAGGGTTCCAAGAAACATGACCGGTCGGCTTGTTAATCTCGACGCTATGCGTCTCAGGTTCACTTCATCTACCACCTTTGCTTTATTTTCTTATGCATTGGGGACAATTGCATGTATTTTTGTTGGGGTGAGGTAAATGGAAAGTGAGTGCTAGGGTGAAGTCCAAGTATCCCAACTCACGATCCTCCCTTCGCGGTTTTCTTGCCTGTGTTCTTTTGCCCTAAGAGACTAGTTATTTTACTATTGAACCGGCATGTGTAGTATCTTGTACAATGTATGAATGTGAAATCTAAATCATGATGGCTAAATATGAATGATATCCCGTTCTAAAGAGAATGCTTGTATGATTAGGCATAATGAATGTTGAATGTGTTGGCTCTAAGCATGAGATAAAGATGCACTATTGGATGATCCTCAATCTAATACTCGAACTAGGCGTCCAATAATCTGATAAGGTAATGAGGTTTTAAGAGAGTGTGAGTAAAGTTGATTGTTCCACTGTTGGTACCTAGCTTGAACTTGCCCAGTTAGTCCTGCAAAAAGAAATCTGTGTTAGACATTTAGGAAAGGATCATAGGACCTTATTCAAGTTAGAAAATTTTTAGCCTAAATAAAATAAAACCAAATGAAATTGAGCCCTTTTTTATCCAAATATTTTGAGCTTAAAATAGACCTTTCTTTTCTATCCTAACTCATCTTCCTTTGGTATAATGTATTGGACCTGGTCCTTCCTTTGACATGTGTACCTCAACTTAGGCCAAAAGCATAAGTTGAGGGTGGCTAGTGCAAAAATTGACCTCGTCTTGGCCCTGACCCAATCTTGGGTATTGTGTACCTCGAATCATGGAAAGCCGTAAGTTGAGGGTGGCTATTATGAGTAATGTTCCGAAAAGGGGATGAAAGGACTATTGTAAAACAAAAAAAAGAAAAAAAAAGAGTGAATAAGAGAAGTGACTCAGTCAAATCCATTATCAAAGAAAAAAAAGAGAGAATATAAAAGAAGTAATTAAGAAAAAGAAGTAAGAGTCATTTCAACAAAAGGAGAAAGCAAGGAGAAAACAAGGCAAAATGTACAAGAAAAGGAAGAGTAGGGTATAATAGACAATGAAAGAGGTAGGACGTTTAGCCGTAATGTCAAGGAGGGCCAAAAGTCACTAAAATGAACCAATATGTATCAACCCTGACCCAGAGCCTACGTTACAAGCCAAGAAAGTCCTATCGTGATCCTAAGAGTAATATGGTGAACTTAAGCAGTGAAAATAAGGGAAAGCCTATGGCGACAAGTATCAACTAGGTGTGAAGTTGTTTTGAGCGTGAGTGTTGAATAATGATCCTTATACTCAAATTTGAAATCATTGTATGAAAAAGAAGGATATCTTTTGAAGCGAGGGCACTAGTTGAAATATTGAAAAGTTGGTACCTTGGTGAGCGATAAAAGAGTAGAGGTGTCGGTGCGTGGTGAGTCTGTGCCATGGTCTGATCCACATGAATGAGTTTAGTGAGCCTAAGAGTAAAAGCATGCACTAAAACAGTAACAAAATTCGGTATTTATAACCATATTATTCCGAAAGCTTAAAAGAGGATACTTTTGTACAAGGTGTTGTGTTGAGTCATTGTGCGTCGCTTGAGGACAAACAACAAATTTAAGCTGAGGGTGTTGATGTATTGTGGTTTCACAGTACTTTTAATGCTTTTTCCTTAAGTTTAGTGTGTGTCTAGGGCCTTTTTGTAGTAATTTTAATGTGTTTTATCTGTGTTTTGTAGGAAAGTTATCCGAATTGGAAATGCATAACGTTGTGCAAAAGTGACCGACGAAGCCATCGACGGACCGTAGGTAGTGATCGTCGATTGGAGGTTCAAGCATCTAAAAGAAACTTGGGGAATTTTGACCAAGTGTAGGGCTACGGAAGGATCGACGATCCGTCAACTGATTGACGGACCATCCTAGAAAATTGTTGATGAGATCAGAGACTGCTCCAGTACCAGATGTTGAAAAAAGTGTAAGAATGGAACAACGAAGGCATCGACGGACCGTGCTGCTGGTCCATCGATTGTATAAGAGAAGATGCAATGTGTAGGCTTTAAAAAGATGCTAAGTATGGATCGACAGAGGCAGTCGACGGTCTGTCGTTTGATCAATGGACCATTAGTGGGGTCCTCGATTGAAGCCGATTTTTTTGGACAAACTTTCCTTAATTGCTTTCCTTTCATATTAGGACAATGTTTTTGTAAATAGGGTGTAAATCCTCGTTTTTGGGGTAAGATCTCTTATTATTTTTCATACTTTTGTTCAGGGAGAATTGACTTTGCAACTTGGAAAATTAATTCAAATATCCGAAATCGATTCTCAATTGAATTTTGTTGTTTCAAGTATAATTTCTGAATTTTTTTCAAAGTTGTCAAAGTAAGTTTATTCAACAAATATGAATTGTGTTCTTCTAAACATGGGTAACTAAATCCACAACTAGGGTTGTGGGAACCATGGGTGATTAACAAAATAAATCTAGCTCATTAACAATTCTCAACTAGGTTATTGCATGTATCGATAATTCTTTTGTTTAGAAGTCTTTTTAACGAGTGCACGCATTAGAACTCGCCATATTGATATTTGCCGGACCAAAAGGATATTTAATAGGAAAAGAATTATTGACATAAATTTACTGAATACTATCTAATATGCTAGTTTCGGTTGGTGTGATGTGATAACTAAGTCAAACATCGAATATGATGCTTAATATGAAGTAAAAAGTAAGGATTAGTAATTTAAACACACGTAGCCGGACCAAGGTACGGGGTGAAATTCTCTAAATGGCGGACCAAGGATTTAGAGATACCTAACTTATCATTTTGCATGCAAAACCTTAAGGAAGAATTGTTATAAGCTAGGGTTATGGCATTATGAACCTATGGGGAACACTTACACCCTAGTTTCTCTCATAACTTGATAAACATCAACAATTTACTCTTGTTACTTGTTAGATTTCATAACATTACAATATTTTTGTTTCACAACCCCCCTCCCCCCCCCCTTTTAGTTATTAGTTTTCGGAAAGGACTTGACTAAACAGAGGTAATCTTACGTTAAAGTTAAGTCTAAATCATTTTCCCCGTGGAATCAACCCAAACCTAATAGTTGAGTTCTTTATTTGATACGAACGCTTATACTTCTTCAGGGAAGTATAATTTGAGCGTATCAGGTGACAATTTTAAAATTAAGAATTAAGGAGTTAGAATTGTTTATCCCTAATTTTTTTAGTTCACATTTTAGTTTAACTCCTCAATTCTTTGTTTTAAAATTGTCACCCCTACTCAATACTGTAGACTTGAGTCACCAATCCCTCATTTTGAAACTTCTTTGTAACCATTAATTCATTGTCCCTAGTTTGTACCAGTGTTTTATATCAATAATATAAATAAATATTGCGAGAAAAAAAAACAAAATTGTCCTTTGATTTTGACTTAAGAATCTAAGTAATTTTTTATCTTTTAACATGGAACACTAAGGCCACATTTTTTGCACTTATGGAGGTATGAATCTTTAATCATTGAGATTTAGCCTATTAAGTACGTTTGATTTTTAGGTCTGAATCTGAATCATTCATATTTATCCCATTAAGTTCATTTGTTTTATTTTTTAAAAATGCTCTTAATGAGTCTGAAGAGGTCTAAATATTAGATCTGTAGGAGACTCTTAACAACATTCATACTCATTTAATAAGTTATCAAATAATAAATCATCGTTTCTCTACTTTAAGCGTGCCTTGTTATCTCATAACTAAAATCTTTGTTGCTCTCTTTTCTCAATCAAACACCATTTTCCCTCTTGAACTGGTAAGTTTTATCCGTTAAAGTTTTTTTATTAATAATTTTCTTATATTGACTGTGTCAAGAACACTATTGGTAGATTGATGTTTATCAAGGTTTTTGAATGAAAAAATTGTACTTCCAAATCATGATAACTAAAACTTTTAAAACTTTTTTTTAATAATAAAACCATATATTTTTAAAATGAAACTTTTATGATATTTTATTAATTTAATGTTAATTTCACATGCACATTCAGATATTGAAAACAAACAGTATTAATTATTTAGTGTTCAGATTTAGAGACCACATCTTAATATTCAGATGTATATTTAGATCAAAACACCTGAATCTTAATACAAATCTTAATATTCAGATATGTATTCAGATTCAGACCTCTTATCTTAATGGAAACAAATGAAACTTAAGCTAGTGTTTGATTATACATTTTAAAATATTCTTGGAAAATATTATTTGACTGAGTCGGGCAAATTTTACCAAGCAAAGACTACTAGAAGTCCAGGAGTATGCCAAATTTTGTGAGCTGCTAAAGCTTGAATTTTTGTAGATCCATCAGTCTTCTCTCTGCTTCTTGACTTTTAAAAAAAAGTGACAATAAGGTTTCAAAATAAATGGGCTATGACATAAGTCTTAAGTATTGGGTGTAGGTAACAATTATATGATTAATGATTAAGGATTATGGAGTAGTCGTGTTTATAAGTTGACAATTTAGTCCACTGAATTAAATAAATAGTAAAAGGGTAAATCGACTAAAACCTAATTTAACAAATTTTGGTGAGAATTAAAATTTGGGGAAGCCACTAGCAAGCTGTACCAAAAGGGGAAATAAAGTATTTTCCCCCACCTCTCGTCATATTTTTTTTTCTTCCTCTTCTTCTTCGTCGTCGTTCTTGCGTGCTTGCTTGTCTTTCTTCCCGCTCCCATTTATCTTTTTCTTCTTTTTTCGTACATTATTGGTCTTGACTGTTAGTCCTTGATCTTTCTTCTTTTCTTCTTCTTGAATCAGATTTAACTAATTTAATCAGCGGATAAGATTTTTTTTGCTCTCAATTGAAATTTCTTCATAAATGATTAGGGTCACACACCATTGTTTTGATATGTAAAACTAATAGTTCTTTGAAATCATTCATAATTATTTGGGCACCTGCAATTTGCATTCGTGTTTCCAACAGATTGCTATATGTTGCAACAATTGACTATTGAAACAAATTATAGTCATATGTAGCAACAGAAAGGTAATTTCAATAGCAACAGAATTGACTGATGTTGCAGCATATAGCTTACACAAGTTGCAACATATAAGCTAGACATGTAGTAACATATGACTTACATATCGCAATTGACATGATATTTATATAATACCCTTGTAAATCATTGTTTTAAGTGTTATATCATATTTTTATTGCTTAATTATGGTTTAATGTACTAAAATTTTATCTAATTTCACATTTTTTTTCATTCCGAAATCGCTCAATTTATCGATTAAGTCATCCTTGAAGTGATATATGTGGCAATATATGCACGTTCTGTTGGGAAAATTGCAACAAAAATGTCATATGTAACAACATATGTATATCATAAAATGATCTTTTGGGGGTTAATTCAATTAAATTGTCACCTAATTCAACATGTAACACTAATCTATTGTCCTACAACATGTCTAAGTACAAAATTATGGTCTAATACAACAACCTTCATCAAATCTATCAATTATTTTTACAAAGACTATTATTTATTACTAGTTCATCATACAATGACCAAGTAACTACATATGATAGTTATATAACACCCTTATAAATCGTTGTTTCAAGTGTTATAACATATTTTTATTGCATAATTATGGTTCAAATTACTAAAATTTGGTCTAATTCGATATTTTTCCATTCTAAATTGTTTAATTTATTGATTAAGTCATCATTGAAATGACATATGTAACAACATTTGCACGTTCTGTTGGAAAAATTGCAACAGAAATGTTATATGTGGCAACATACGTATAATAAAATGGTTTTTGAGGGGTTAATTCAATTAAACTGTCACCTATCAACATGTAACACTAATATATAGTCCTACAACATTTTTAAATACAAAATTATAGTCTAACATAATAACCTTCCTCAATTTTATCAATTATTTTTACAAAAATTATCATATCACTAGTTCATCATATAATGATCAAGTAACTTCATATGATAGTTATATAACATCGTTGTAAATCATTGTTCCAAGTGTTATAGCATATTTTTATTGTTTAATTATGGTCTAAAGTACTAAAATTTGGTCCAATTTGACATTTTTTCATTTCTAAATCGTTCAATTTATCGATTAACACATTCTTGAAGTGACATATGTGGCAACATATGCATGTCCTGTTGGAAAAATTGCAACAGACATGTCATATGTGACAACATATGTATATCATAAAATGGTCTTTTGGGGTTAATTCAATTAGATTATCACCTAATTCAACATGTAACATTAATATATAGTCATACGACATGTCTAAGCATAAAAATATGGTCTAATACAACAACTTTCATCAATTTTATCAATTATTCTTACAAGGGAAAAGGGTCAAATATACCCCTAAACTATTCGAAAAGGTCTAAATATACCATTTGCTTAAAGTTTGGTTCACTCATGCCCTCGCCGTCCAACTTTTGATCCAAATATGTCCTTATGGGCTTTAGTTGACATGTTGGACCTATCCAACTCATTTTTCATTTATTTAGATGCTACATGGAATTGTCATGTCATTTTGACCTTACCACATAACATTTATATGAAAATGGAAATATATTTGGACTCATAAACATCTAATACGACCCATAAATCAACCCACTTTTAAATAAATTATCCGATCGATTTTCAACAATTCTGTTTAGTTTTTATTTTTTTGATAAATTCCAAAAATGAGTAATTGATTAATAAAAAAATAGGAAGAATATGACAAAAGGATAAATTTAACGCCAAAAATTCACAAATAATTATAGTATTCTTAAATTCAATTTAAACACTTTTTAGTTTTTTTTAAATTAAAAAGTAAATACATTAACCTTAAATTCAACAATTTCAACATTTTTTTAATTTTTAATTTTTTTCGCAATCCCAAAAACGAGTTTATTAACAAAAAATGTAAAAATTACTTTAAAAATTCACAAAATAAAAAATGAAAAATATGAAATAAATATAAAATAAAAAAATTGTTGAAATTATTGAATTTAAGGTTACTATATTTATTTGTGAATTTTGATGTAAATTTTTTATTTTGTTTTCATATTTTTCCCTTTTTATTAATAAATTACTCATTTTTGGGATTTGTCAAAAAAAAATAAAATTTTAAAAAAAATGTAGAATGAAATATTACTATATTTATTTGTGAACTTTTGGGGTTAATTTATATTTTTTTTCATACTTTTCATATTTTTTATTAATCAAATTATTCATTTTTGAGATTTACCGAAAAATAAAAATTTTAATAAAAATATTAAAATGTTAGATTTAAGGTTACTATTTATTTGTGAATTTTGGCGTTAATTTTATATATTTTTTTTATATATTTTTCCTATTTTTTATTAATCAATTACTATTTTCGGGATTTACCAAAAAATAAAAATTAAACAAAATTGTTAAAAATGATTCAGATAGTAAATTTAAAAGGATTTGATTTATGGATCAGATTAGGTGTTTATGAGTCCGAATATCTTTCCATTTTCATATAAATGTCATGTGGGAAGGTCAAAATGACATGACAATTCCATGTGGCAAGGTCAAAATGACATGACAATTCCATGTGGAATTTAAAAAATAAAAAAATGAGTTGGATATGTCCAACATGGCAACAACGTCCATCAAGGCAATTCGAACCAAAAGTTGGACAGTCAGGGCATGAGTGAACCAAACTTTAAATGTAGGGTATATATAGACCTTTTCGAATAGTTTAGTGCATATTTGACCATTTTCCCTTTTTACAAAGACAATCATATCACCAGTTCATCATACAATGACCAAGTAACTTCATATGATGGTTATGTAACGCCCATGTAAATTGTTGTTCCAAGTGTTATAACATATTTTTATTGTTTAATTATGGTCCAAAGTACTAAAATTTGATCCAATTTGACATTTTTCCATTCCTAAATCTCTCATTTATCGTTTAAATCAACCTTGAAGTGACATATGTGACAACATATGCACGTTTTGTTGAAAAAATTGCAACAGACATGTCATATTTGGCAACATGTACATCTCAAAATGTTTTTTCTCCAGATAATATTTCAAAAGGAATAACAACCCAACCATCCTACAAACAAATAAGTGATAAAAATCACTAAAAAAAGTCCTGATTTAATACCAATAACTATTATATTTTATCTTAAAGATATCAATAATAAACTAGAAATGATGAGGGCAACAACGCTTTGTTGTAGAAGAAAATCACAACATATTACCACTGATGTTGTAGAAAACATAATAATAATTTGAATTGTAAAGAAATAACAGAAAGGGAGAAAGGAAAGAGAGAAAAGAAAATGAAAATTAGTAAAAATAAATTAAATTTGAAATATGAAATGAAACGACCTTTTATAGAGGAGAGGAGAAAGGAAAAATGAAAGGATGATTATTTTAGACATTTTTATTTTAATATTAATTTTTTTATAATTCATAGTGTAACATCTGTTGGCACATATATCCTTTCTGTTGGGGTACATGCAGATAATTTTATAATTTTTTTACAACAAAGGTTATATATGTTGCCACAGACACCACATTGGTAACAATGAAATGTTGACACATATCTTCTTTCTGTGACATATATTACAACATATCTCCTTTCTGTGATATATGTAGCTACATATCTTCTTTCTGTGACACATGTTGGCACATATCTTCTTTTTGTGACATATGTTGCCATATATCTTTATTATGTGACATATGTTGCCATATATCTTTTTTCTATGACATATGTTGTCACATATCTTCTTTCTGTGACATATGTTGCAACATATATCCTTTCTACTGGGACACATGTAGATAATTTTGTGATGTTTTTTTACAACATAGGTTATATAAGTTGCCACATACACCACATTTCTTTTTTCCCATCATAATTGACATTTGTTTCAACAAAAAATCGCTAATATTATCAGCAAAAATAAACACTTTAGCAATATTTTTATACAACTTATCGATAAAAAAAGTAATTCACAATGGTATACATAACAATTAATCTAATTAATGGTGGATATTGTTGTTTCACATCACAATTGACGATTTTTACTTTTTTCTCTTTCTCTTTCGCTTTCTTTTTCAATTTCTCCTTCTCCATCTCTATGTCCTTCTCCTTCTCTTTCTTGTTCTCTTTGTCTTTTGGGTGTGAGTGAGATACAAAGCATAAGTCATTGTTTTTTTCTTTCACTAATTATAGATAGTGATTGAGAAATAGATTTTTTCAATCTCATGCACTTCAAATATTTATGGACAACTGAACAACACTACATTTCTTAAATCATATAAACAAAATGGTCACACACACAAAAAAAAAAATTCACCGGATGTTAACATTACATATACATTTTCTCAAATTATGGCTTTTTGGATTTGTTAATTTTCTTTCTAAAACAATAAATAATATGTATCATTAAACTATTGTTCATTTTTCACATCTATAGAACGATTTATTCTTCATTAATCCAAGAAAAAAGCTAAGTATTATTCACAAATTGTAAAATCTCTCAAAAAAAATAACTTATGCATTTTAAGTCAAACACAATCTTCAGTTCAAAAAGAAGAAAGAGTCACGATCGGAGATGAGAAGGAAGATAAGATAATAAGAGATAATATTTATTTTGATAGTCGGATATTCAGATTATCTAAAAATAAAAAAAGAGAAAAAAGAAAATTGAGAGAAGAAGAAGAAGAGAAATACCTATTTTTATTTTATTTTTTTTTAAAAAATGATTTAGATAAAATGATAAGAATTAAAAAAATGAAATATTTTTTTATATTATAAAAATTTAAAAAAATTTAAAAATATTAATTTGATCCCAAATTTATTTAGTTACATTTTAAAAGTTATTTGACCATCTGACACCAAAAATTAAATCAAGACTCATCAAATCAAGACTTATTTGACACCTTCTGTTAGACCCGCAAACTACTTGATTTAACTACGTGTAGACATGTCAAGGACTTGGGCATTGGTCTTGGCATGGATGATGGCAAAACAGTGCAACACAAGTTCAAGGTGCTTGGGTTTTGGCAAGGCAGCTTGAACGTGCATGGCTTACATGTGGGCTAAGGGCATTGGCAAGGCAGCATGTTGACTTGATGAGGCAAGGCTGTGAAGACTTGGCAATGTCAGGAACAAATGCAGTTCACCCGAAATTGCTGAAATAAAAATAAGTGTTGGAAGACAGCTGAAATATTCTAAGTGTTGGAAGCTGGCAGAAATATTCGAAGTGTTGGAATGAAGCCTGAAATATTCTAAGTGTTAGAATATTGATATTTCATGTAGATAAGAATGTAATTTGAATTAGATTCTATCTGTTAGAAATATAGCTGTTGGAAAGTTAGTTTTGAACCCTGTGATGACAAGTGTTGGACAGGTGTCATTTGTAACCGCCGCATGTAACTGCCACTGTGCAGAATTTTGATTTAAAGGTGGAAATTCGTCTAAGGCAAAAACAGAGTTTTTCTAGCCTTAGACTAATTCGTGAAGCCTTCCTTTGTATTACTTAAAGGTTAATAAAGGTTGGGACTGGTTCTTGTAAATTCTGTTGGTTGTTTGACGCTGCTGTTTTAAGTATTTCTATACTTAGTCAATTTTCGTGGGTGCAAGTAGGCTGAGTGTTATAGACGTTTGTAAGACTGCCTAGAGTGGTGTGTGATAAAAATAAATCGACCCTCTTTCAATTGGTATCAGAGCGCAGTTAAACAATAGTGAAAAACGCAGAACTATGGGAGTTGGCACGAAAAATTGAATCCTTCGTCGGGTTTACTGAAGACATTTTGGGAGACCCTACGTTTGTGGATTTATTCACACAAATCATTGAGCTAAGAGTGGACGCTGAGAAAGTTCAGGGAGAAATTGGTGGATATCGACATAATGTTGATAACCACATTACTGAAATCTTGGACTTTCGTACCACAACTACGCAAAAACTGGAGGGACTGCAGAAGGAAAATGAGAACCTTCGTGCAGAGCTCGTTGTTTTGTGTCGGGCTGTGGCCACGTTAAGTTCAACTCGTGTTGAATCGTCTAAGGTAAAGATTCCAGAACCTAAGGCCTTTAATGGCGCAAGGAGTGCTAATGAACTGGAAAATTTCATCTGGGACATGGAGCAGTATTTTACCGCTGCAAGAGTGTCGGACGTTGATAAGTTGAATATTACCACAATGTATTTGTTGGGTAATGTGAAACTTTGGTGGAGGACTCGTAATGCAGACGACGTAAGTGCTGGTCTTCCTAGAATTGATACATGGGATAAGCTAATCAAAGAAATGTGTGACCAATTTCTTCCTAGCAATGCATCTTGGCTTGCAAGGGATAAATTAAAAAGGCTAAGGCAGACGGGTTCAGTGAGGGAATACATAAAAGAATTTACCTCTGTGATGTTAGACATACAAAATATGTCTGATGAGGATAAACTTCACAACTTCATTTTGGGCATGCAAGGCTGGGCTCAGAACGAACTACGAAGGCAGAATGTTAAAGATCTGCCCGGGGCTATTGCTACTGCCGATTCGTTAGAGGATTTCCGCACGACTCGTCCTTCCACAGACGTCCCCTCCACTTCAAAAACTAAGAAAAAGAATGAGAAGAAAGGGTAATGGAGAAAGGATAGTCGTAAAGACAATACAAATGATAAAGGAAAGGCACAAATGAAGGATGGGAAAGACAGGCCAAAGAACAAAGATGGAAATTCGAAGGGCTGTTGGACTTGTGGTGGTCCTCATTTTGCCAAATCTTGTCCAAACTGGAAAAAGTGAATGCTTTGCTTGCTGGTAACGTGAATCAAAGGGAGGAGGATGAAGAAATCGTGGCTGCAATGGCAAACCCATTGGGATTGTCCTTCAATCACATTATGGGGATCAATAATGTTGGAGAAATCTCTAGTACTTCGAATCCTCATGCTTCATTAATTCATATAGAAATGAAAGTGAAAGAAGAATGTGTGATGGCAATGGTTGATACAGGGTCCACACACACGTTTGTAGATGTGAAGATTGCTACAAAATTGGGGCTGAAGTTATCCAAAAGCCCTTCCTACGTCAAAACAGTCAATGCTAAGACACAAGCCATTGTGGGCATGGCTTATGGTGTGTCTATGGCGACTGGAAGTTGGGTGGGAAAACATAACTTGATGGTGATGCCGCTTGATGACTTTGAAATCATACTTGGGATTGATTTCCTATGGAAATTCCAGTTTGTTCCGTTTCCTCACTTAGATGGAGTGATGGTCATGAATGGAAGAAATGCTGGCTTTCTCAAAGGTGTTCATCCGTTTGGGGACATTAATAAGGTTGCAAAGAAGAAAGACAAGGGAATGTTGTTGTCTGCTATGTCAATCGACAAAGGGCTGAAGAAGGGTGAAGACACTATACTTGCTGTCTTGGTCGAAGTGAAACCTGATGTGAAAATGGAAGTGCCTGATTGTGTTGTTGATTTACTTAAACAGTATGCTGATGTTATGCCGCCTGAATTACCAAAGAAATTACCACCAAGGAGGGATATTGATCATAAGATTGAGTTGTTGTCTGGTACGGTTGCTCCTGCACAGGCTCCTTATCGTATGGCTTCTAAGGAATTGGTTGAATTACGCAAACAATTGAATGAATTACTAGATGCTGGATTGATTCAGCCGTCTAAGGCTCCATATGGTGCTCCTGTTCTATTTCAAAAGAAACAGGATGGAACAATGCGAACGTGTGTAGACTACCGGGCGCTGAACAAGACAACTATAAAGAACAAGTATCCGGTTCCGTTGGTGCAAGATTTGATAAATAGGTTAAGCAAGGCATGCTGGTTCACAAAACTTTATCTGAGGGCAGGTTATTGGCAGGTTAGGATAGCAGAGGGTGATGAACCAAAAACAACATGTGTAACTAGATATGGTTCCTATGAATTCCTTGTAATGCCGTTTGGGCTGACTAATGCCCCGGAAACGTTTTGCAACTTAATGAACAATGTACTGTTTGACTATCTTGATGACTTTGTTGTTGTTTATTTAGATGATATAGTCATTTATAGTCGAACATTGGAAGAACATGTTAATCACCTAAGTCTGGTTTTGTCTCAATTGAGGAAATACATGCGTTATGTCAAGATGGAAAAGTGTGAATTTGCTATACAAGAGATAAAGTTCTTGGGGCATCTTGTTAGTAAAAACCAAGTTCGAATGGATCCTAAGAAAGTGCAAGCCATTGTTGATTGGCAGACACCTCGTCATGTGAAGGATTTGAGGTCGTTTATTGTCTTGGCTAACTATTACATAAAGTTTATTGCTGGCTACTCAAAGAAGGCAGCGGCTTTGACAGATTTGTTAAATAAGGATACAAAGTGGGTTTGGTCTGAACGGTGTGATGAAGCTTTTCAGAACTTAAAGAATGTTATCGCATCTGAACCTATACTCAAATTGCCTGATTTTGAGTTACCATTTGAAGTGCACACTGATGCGTTAGACAAAGCAATTGGTGGCGTATTAGGGAAGGAAGGTCATCCAGTGGCCTTTGAAAGTAGAAAATTGAATGATGCTGAACAGAGATACTCAACACATGAAAAAGAAATGGTTGTGGTAGTACACTGTTTGCAGGTTTGGAGAGTCTATCTCTTGGGAACTCGATTTGTAGTGAGAACTGATAATGTAGCAAATACATTTTTCAAGACACAAAAAAAGTTGAGTCCTAAACAAGCACGGTGGCAAGAATTCCTGGCAGATTATGATTTCATGTGGGAACATAAACCAGGAAAACACAACCAGGTTGCTGATGCGTTGAGTAAAAAAGAAGTGTTTGTTGCAGTATATTCAATTTCGAAACTGGAAACTGATTTCTATGATAGAATTAGGCTGTGTGCTGCAAATGATTCATTGTATGTTAAATGGATGGGTCAAGTGCAAGATGGCACAATGAGACGGTATTGGATCGAGGACGGTCTGCTCTATTTTAAAGGGGAGAGGATCTTTGTACCAAATCAGGGTGGGTTGCGCAAAGACTTAATGAAAGAGGCGCATGACTCTGCTTGGGCTGGACATCCCGGTGTTGAAAGGATGTTAGCCTTACTGTCTCGTGTTTATTTTTGGCCAAAAATGGAAGATGATATAGAGGCGTACGTCAAGACTTGTCATGTTTGTCAAGTGGACAAGACTGAACGTAGGAAGGAAGCAGGTTTGCTGCAACCTTTGCCTGTTCCTGAAAGGCCATGGCTATCAGTAAGCATGGATTTCATTTCTGGATACCCTAAAGTAGATGGAAAGTATCTATCATGGTGGTAGTTGACAGGTTTTCAAAATATTCTATTTTTATTGCTGCTCCTGAATTATGCTCATCTGAAGTTGCTGCTGAGTTATTCTACAAACATGTGGTTAAGTATTTTGGTGTTCCGGCTGACATTGTGTGTGATAGAGACACAAGGTTCACTGGTAGATTTTGGACAGCATTGTTCAATATGATGGGAACTAAATTAAAATTTTCTAATGCAAATCACCCACAAACAGATGGACAGACGGAAAAAATTAATCACTTGTTGGAGGAATAGTTGAGGCACTATGTGACAGCAAGTCAACGGAATTGGGTAGCATTGTTAGACACTGCGCAGTTTTGCAATAATCTGCACAAGTCGTCTACAACAGAAATGAGCCCTTTTGAAATCGTCTTAGGCAGACAGCCTATGACACCACTAGATGTTGCTAAATCTAAGAATCAGGGAAAATGTCCAGCAACATATAGGGTTGCAAGGGACAAACCTGAAATGTTATCTCAGGCATAAGATAGCTTGCGCAAGGCTCAGCGGCGCATGAAGAAGTATGCTGATCAACATCGTCGCTCAGTTGAGTTCAATGTGGGTGACAAGGTGTTGCTGAAAACCCCACAAATCTGGAAACGGATTGTAAGTAAGACCAGACATCGGGGTTTGATTCCTAAGTGTGATGGTCCATTTGAAGTGGTGAAATGAGTGGGCGAAGTTGCTTATAGGTTGAAGCTGAAATCCATCCGACTTTCCATGTGAGTTTCTTGAAACCTTACTTTGCAGATGCAGATGATCCGGACAGAAACAGGTCAAATAGAGCTCCTCCATCAGTACCTACACAGTATGATGCTGAAATTGAGAAGATCCTTGATCACCGGGTTTTGGGCACAAGTAAGAAGAATACTAAGACTGAGTTCTTGGTTCACTGGAAAGGCAAGAGTGCAACAGATGCTATTTGAGAGAAAGCAAAAGACCCATGGTAGTTTGATGCTCAAATCGAGGACTATCTCAAAACAGTCTCGATGAGGACATCGAGTTCAAGTGGTGCGGGTGGTCTGTTAGACCCGCAAACTACTTGATCTAACTACGTGCAGACATTTCAAGGACTTGGGCATTGGTCTTGGCATGGATGATGACAAAATAGTGCAACACAAGTTCAAGGTGCTTGGGTGTTGGCAAGGCAACTTGAACGTGCATGGCTTATGTGCGGGCTAAGGGCATTGGCAAGGCAACATGTTGACTTGATGAGGCAAGGATTTTAAGACTTGTCAATGTCAAGAACAAAGGCAGTTCACCCGAAATTGCTGAAATAAAACTAAGTGTTGGAAGACAGCTAAAATATTCTAAGTGTTGGAAGCTGACAGAAATATTCTAAGTGTTGGAATGAAGCCTGAAATATTCTAAGTGTTAGAATATTGATATTTCGTGTAGATAAGTATGTCATTTGAATTAGATTCTATCTGTTAGAAATATAGCTGTTGGAAAGTTAGTTTTGAACCCTTTGATGACAAGTGTCGGACAGGTGTCATTTGTAACCGCCGCATGTAACTGCCATTGTGCAGAATTTTGATTTAAAGGTGGAAGTTCGTCTAAGGCAAAAACAGAGTTTTTCTAGCCTTAGACTAATTCGTGAAGCCTTCCTTTGTATTACTTAAAGGTTAATAAAGGTTGGGACTGGTTCCTGTAAATTCTGTTGGTTGTTTGACGCTGCTCTTTTAAGTATTTCTATACCTAGTCAATTTTCGTGGATGCAAGTAGGCCGAGTGTTACAGACGTTTGTAGTGGTGTGTGATAAAAATAAATCGATGCTCTTTCACCTTCCATTGAATTTTCTCCTGCTTCTTTCTTCATTCCATCAAAAGCTGCAACAATCGAGATCATGGCCTCCGACGGTGACGAATTTGTCAAAGGACATGTTCACCGTAACAACGTTACTATTCTCACTCTCGATCGTCCTAAAGCTCTCAATGCCATGAACCTCGGTGAACTTTTATTTTACTTCACTTTCATTTTTTCCTGGTATAATTACACTTTTTTTCTTCCCTTTAACTGTTTTGGAGCTGAATCAAACACTCAAATCTTTCTATTGTTTTCCTTTGTTCCGTGTATGTCAAAATTAACAGACCCTGAGGTGTCTTAAGTGAAATTTTGTCGTATTTAATTTGTATTCTCATTATAGTTTTTCCCATTAACAAGTATAGGAGTTTAATGGAAATGAAGGAAGGAAAAATCGGAATACTAGTATAAATATATACTTTTTTTCCCTCTAAGCTTGAGAATTGATATACTATATCTTCATTTAAGCAGTTTCATTTCTGTTTACCTCATGCTTGATTGATATGTGACACAGATATGGACATCAAGTACAAGAGTTTCCTGGATGAGTGGGAAACAGACCCAATGGTCAAGTGTGCTTTGGTTGAGAGTAGCTCCCTGCGTGCCTTTTCAGCAGGTAACCATCAGAAGTCTTTAATTTACTGGATGTATACTGGCTAGTACTTTATTTGGTATATTTGCAGCATCTATTTCCTAAAAAAGTTATGTTGGTACATCATTAGTCAATTTTGGTAGAGACTACAAGTCTTAGTTATGATGCCTAGTTTGACAGGCTCTAGTAATATATATGGGTAACAATTTTTTTTTCTGATGCAGGTATGGATATTAAGGGGGTTGTTGCTGAAATTCAAAAGGACAAATTTACACCTCTTGTGCAAAAGGTTTTTCTCACATTATAAGATTTACCCTATAAGTGTACTCAACATGTAAAGTTTTCCTGTGGTGTTTTGGAATCATCGTTGGTTTCTTCTTCTCTGTATCCTAGTCTTTGTTTTTTGTAGTTTCATTGGATAAATTTTGTCTTGCTGAGTTGATGCTGATGCATATTAGAAATAGTAATACTAGTGATTTTACCTGAAGAGGTTGCTCAAGCTGGTTTAGACAAAAACGTTGATTAGATATGGTTGAGGTCTTTCAGTGTCCCCTTGATGTGCGCAAAATCATAACAGTCTGTGTTAGCAGAGGTACATACACTAGCTGTATTTTTTTTTATAAAAAAAGAAAAAAGAATCAGAATACCATTATCTTTTGTAGTTTGGTTCTTAACAAGGAGGTATAAAAAGAACCCTAGTCTTTTATGCAATTCTGATGAATATTGTTAGAAACAATTAGGGAGACATTGTGTATTGTGACTATGTAGCATTGATTTCTTTTCTTGTTTAAATATATGCATTTACTATTTAACACCCCATAACATTGGAGAATAATCAACCGAGAACATTCTTCCATTTCTCTATTGTGTTCTACTTCACACATGGAGTAAGAGCAAGGTTAGGGGTAGATGCTGCAGTTACAGCAACTCTCTCTCTCTCTCGATTGTCGTCATGCAAATTTTTTGGCGATCAGTACCATTGTAGTTCTCTATATTTTTGTCGGTGCCATGTACAAACCAACACCACCATCAAGTCCCTCACCTCCCTGGGAAAAAGACCCAGCAAGTTCCACTGGAGAAGGTGCCTCACGTATTTCACGTGCCAGAGAGAAGGAAGATTCAAATTCAAATAATATAGCTCGTAAGGTTAATGCCATTCACAATGGAGATCAATGGTGTAGGTAGATTCAAATATTTAGAGTTAAATCGGCTATCTTCAATAATAACATCCAATTCACATCAGTATTCTTCGTTCATCAAGAATCAATAGAAAATATCTAGCTATGAATCTCGAAGAAACTTGAACTTAATTAGCAGTAAGCTGACTTGTCTGCCACAGGACATTCATAAGTTTCTCTTTGATGGTCTACCTATTATAATAATGTGATTCATTTGAACATTCTGTATTCTTGAAGTATGTGTAGTTGGTGCTTTGTGGTTGGTTCATGGCACTGTTCATAACTGAATGATGTCTGTTTACACAAGTTGATATTTTCTTAATGCAAAACATGTTTATTCTTCTTCAAAATATTTGTCCTTTTTAATACTTGAGGGCTTTTCTTTTACCATGTATCCTTTGAGTTGATAGTTGCACTTAATCATGCTCAATTCGATGATTTGCTTCTTTATGTTCTTAATATATTCTCCTGGCAAAAATGTTTTTGATATATAACCCTTCGTTTACATATAATAGCACGTATACATATGTCCTATTCAAAGAGGGGAAACTCATGGTCTTTCTCAGACATTCATCGTTTGATGAACCTCTTTAACACCACAATGAGTCTGTGACTTGCTCCACTCTTGTTCTTCTACCACTCTTAGCACCATATATGAGTTCTGCAAGCCTCTGGGTGATGCCTTAATATTTAATATGTTAATATATGGGTATGTTTGAAGTGAACACTGCAACTAAGTTTGTTAGTAGGACTTTCAGAAAATTGAGAGGTGTTCCTTCATTATGTACAGGTATTCGCAGCAGAGTATTCTCCGATTTGCAAAATATCCAATTACAGAAAGCCTTACATCAGCTTCATGGATGGCATAACAATGGGCTTTGGCATTGGTTTATCAGGTCATGGTATCTATAGGCTTATCACTGAGGTATTCCCCCCCTCCCCCCTCCCCCCTTGTATGAGTACTGATTGTTGCAACTATTGTCTTATTTATACTCTTTATATTGTTTCAGAGGACTGTTCTAGCTATGCCAGAAAATTGAATCGAGTTGTTTCCAGATGTTGGTTTTTCTTATATAGCTGCACATAGTCCTGGCGAAGGGGCAGTTGGTATGCATTCTCTCTTTCTACTGGTGAAGTTGCATTAATGAAATATCAATTAAAACGGACTTGAAGTTTTAGAAACACCTATTACTATTGGAAGGCTTTGTGGTAGGCAAAAAATGCTTCTCTATTTGGAATGTCTGAAAACTCTCCTCTTTCCATCTCCCTTCTCAGCTCACCGGTGAATAAATTTTTCGATGAAGTCCCTTTTCAGCTTAGTTATGGATTGAAGAGTCTTTTTAATCATTTAAAATAATAGATCTTACTGAGTTTTATGATAGAAGGTTTGTCCTTGTCGAAGGTCTCAAAGTCACTCCCGTTAATCACGATCATTTCTTGTTGGATCTCCCTCGAGACAAGAATTAGTTAGAATCAAAGTAGAGTGGTTTTGAATGGTAGAAATTGTCTGTGTGCATCTGCCAAAATCAGAACAAAGATGGGTCAAAGCTTTTGGCATACCTCTTCAAGCGTCATCTGTTAACAGTTTTAAGACGTTTGGAGATTAGTATAGTGGTAACCTTGGTATCAATGAGGATACAAAGGACTGCATTGGCTCACTTCAGTGCTAGAATTTACTCTTTCGACCAGAGCTTCCGAATTTCAATTCTAAATGACAATCACATTCAACTCAGATCAGCTGTGAAAAATGGCTCTGGTGAAATAGCAAAAGGGGGTCTGATGGAGCAGGCCCTCAATAGTCTCACCTCGTAAGAACACTTGCCAAGCTTCAATTCTAATATTAAGCCACCTGTTAACCCGCTGGGTAATGCGTGATTAAAGCACACAATTGGCATTTGGGGCCATATTTGAGGCACAAATCATTACAGAAAGAAGGCACAAAAAGAAAGGCCCAATTGAAGGTGGGAGTTTAATAAAATAGAAATTAGTCTAGAGGGCTGTCGGCGGTCATAAACCAGACTCAAATGCTAACATATTTAGTATATTACAACTGAATTCTGCACCAATTCGATTTGACGCGCCTCAAATTCACCAACACAGCACCTCCCCAATCTTCTATCTGGACAAAGTTTAGGAGTTTGTCCCTCAGATGCTAATGACTAACAAGACCCAGTAGAGGATATCCCTCAATTACCTCGTCAACCTTCGCTGCATATGGAAATGGATTTGGCCCGATAAACACCTCAGATACTGAATTCTCCTCTCAAACTATTAGTGCAGCTTTGCCATTAACGTGGTATAAGGGGTCTCTAGCCTGCAAATCATAGACAGGTCAACAGTAATTGAGAGTAGT